CCGAAAATATCAGAAACATGCTATAAAAAGTTATTCTAAAATATAAAAAATTTAGAATGTTTAAGTTATTTTTAATTATAACATTGTGGTTTAAACAATGATAAAGTATACTATTTTATTTAAGAAATAGAAAAAAACATTAACTTTACAGAAAGTTTGATAAGTATCTAACTTTTTGGTTCTTACAAAATTACTGATGATGTCTGGTTAAAATTTTTAATGCAATTTCTAAATGCATTATTGTATAAAATTTAGGATTTGAATTTTGTAATTTTAGAGAATAGACATGCAAAGTAAAATATAATTTGATAAAAATATTAAATATATAAAAATACAAAATTATTATTACATATTTATATATTTAAATATAAAATATAAATATAAATATTTATATATTTTTATATTCATACATTTATATATTTGTATATTTATATATTTGTATATTAATACATATATTTTAAAATAATAGCATCTTTATAATTCACTTTCTAATTCCAGTTCTTAATCTATTAATTGTATTAAGAAAATAAATTTAACTGGTAATAATAAAATTAATACCAGAGGATGGAATTTTGTTTTTAAGTTATTTTCTTTACTTAAATATTTGAATTATTTAAGTATTAGTCTTTGTGACTTGCAAGATGATCAATTGCAATAAATTCAAGAATATAATAATGTAAAGAATGTAAATTGGTAAATTAAGAAAATAAATATTAGTTATAATAATTAAATAACAAATAATGTATGGACTTCATTTTTTTTAATAATATCTAATTTTTAGTAAAAAATATTTTTTTTATACAAATATAAAAGTTGAAATTAAAAAATTAATATTAATAAGTAAATTAGAAACTTTAAATATGATTGATTGTAATTTTAATAATGAAACTATTAAAATTTTAATGAAAACGTCAACAAATTTAAAGCATTTTAAAAAATTAAATATCTCAAACAATAAAAATATCAATATACAAGGATATATAACCTTATTTTAAAATTTATAAAGTAGTTTTAAAAATATTTAATCTGTTTTAATTGATAAAAATGGTCTAAACCATAACGATATAAAAATAATAGTTTAAAAAATGACTTACTAATCTTATTTATAAACAATAACAAAAGTATATTAAAAAAAAATTAAAAAAAAAATAAAAAGAAAAAAAAAGAAAAAAAAAAATTTAAACAATTTCTAAAAATCATTAAAAGTAATAAAATGTGAAAATTAAGATTTCGAAAATGTAATATAAAACATATACATTTAATAAGAATAAAAAAAATATTAAAAAAAATTTACATTATAAATGAATATATTAGATAATAAATATTTCATTTTAGATGAACTTCCCAAAAAACTATCATCTGCAATAAATAAACTAAATAAATACTTTATGGAATATAAAAATATTAAAATATAAAGAAATATTCTGACAAATTAAGTTATTTATAATCTAGGAATATTTAATCCTTAAATATTAAATGAAATGTTTTTAAAATTAATAACTGAAAAAAAAAGTTTTCAATGTATTTTACTTCCTAAGGATTAATTCATTTAACAAAAATTTTCTCTTATAGTTTCGAAAAACAAGAAATGGAACCTTATCCCTATAGGATTTTATTTAATCATTATAATTATGATTATTTAATAAATAGATATAAAAACATTTATATGTTAAATAATTCTTATGATTGTGATTGTGAACCTTTAACATATACTTTTTTAAAAGAAGTTTATTAAAAATTTGAAAATACAGACGTTAACTAAATCTATTTTGACTATGTATTATCTAATAGTTTCTAAAAAAGTAAAAAATAATATAATAAAAATTAAAAATAATAATATGCATATATAGATATAATGGAATAAGGTGGTGAAGTTTATTTAATAAATTTCGTAAAATTACTTCCTCCAAAAATGATAGAATTTTAATAAGCAATAACATTATCATGTTGGAAAGCCTTATATTCAATACTATATAATTCATATAACATATAATCTGTAAATATGAGCTATGATATAAACTCTGTGGCAAATGTAGGAATTGCATTTGCCTGGAGAGAACATTTATATTATAATTATAAACCAAGTAATTGTTTAGGCAGAATTTTAAAAGCCACAGTGTATAAATTTTTATCTTTTTTCGTTATAGACGTACCTAATTTTTAATTTAACCAAGATACCACAAAGCTAAATGAAGAATTAAAAAATAGCCAAAATTTTTATATTACGATGGTTTTTATGACCATTTTATATTATTTAATATTAGTTTTTGTGCCCTATTATATCACTATTAGGCAAGAACAAAACATTTGTAAAACAGGAGTTAGTAGTTATTCACATGCAATTTATTTTATTTTTGCTTTTATTTCGGCTGTTTTAGAACTGAAATTGTTTGTTAGGGTAACCTCTATTATAGGTTATATGCTCCCAGATCCTATGGAGGATAAATCATATGACTAGAATAAGGTTTATAGTAAATTAACGATGTTTATTAATGAAATAAAATATAAATTAAAAGGGAAAAAAGAAATATTTTATTTAGTTTCTTTTGTTTAAAGCTAATTGAGTAAATATGACAATTATAATGACTTATGTTTTGTTATTGTCGTTTATCATTGTAAATACAACTTTTTGGCAACTTTACTTTTAATTATAATTGCTTTTAATATGACGTGTAATCTTTTGAAGTTTTTTAGTGTTTTTTTTAACTATTATAAATAAAAGGGTAGACTTTTTTCTACTCATTATATAAATTAATTTTATGAAATTTCAATGCTTTTAGAATGTGTGGCTTTGGGAGATGTTTTAGACTTTGTCGCACCTTTTAATATATCAATGATTCCTAATAATAGATTCATGAAATACTTTTTTTAAAATCTGGCTGGGAAGTCTATTTCTAATAAAATTCTTAATGCTTTCATGAGATTTTCGTTTGAGGATTTACCACAACTTATTTTAGGGTTAGTCTTTTTTTTCTATAGTTTTTAAGAAAGTGTCAATTATAATACTATTCTTACAATTATTACCAGTACAATGTCATTAGGAATTTCAGTTTTTAATTTTTTGAGTATAAGGCCTCTTATTATTACACAGTTAGACTTTAACAAATTGATTAATGAAAAAAAGTAAAGTTATTATAAATAGGCGTAAAATATTGTTTATAATGAAGAAATTTAACTTAAATAATGGATTTGTGAGTTCAAGAAATAAGAGTATGATAGTGTTATATCAGTAGCTTAAGAAATGAATAATAATAATGAAATTTATAGAAATTATATAAATTTTGAGCAAAATAATTGTAAATTTATTAAGTAATTAGTATGAATTTTTAAAAAAAATATATTATAATAAAAAAGTAATTAATTAATATATATATATATATGTTATATTTAAAAAAAAAATTATGATTTCTTTTTAATTTTAAAATTTATAGTTTATATAATGAATTAAAAAAAATTAATAATTAAAATTATTTATATAATAATAGTAATATTAAAATATTATTAAAATAGATAATAAATTATATACTTGTAAATTTTTTAAATATTACAGATTATAAATTTAAATAAAAAAATATAATCAGATTTATATAATATAATTTTTATAAAAAAGAACCAAATAAAATAAAAAATTATGTAAAATTTATGATTAAAATTATTAAATTATTATAAAAAAAACAATAAGTAATATATAAAAAAATAAAAAAAATTGAGTAAATATTTTTAAATTAAAACAATAAAATATATATATTATAAAGCGATAATATTATATATAAAAAAATATTTAATAAAAAATAAAGAATATAGAAAAAAATAAAAAAATTTAAATTATAAAAATAATTTTAAGTATATATTTACTCTATTATTACTAATATATATGATTATATATTAAATAAAAATAATGAATATAAACATTTATATAAATATAAAATATAAAAATATAAAAAAATTAATATATAAATAAATATATGTATATATATAATATATATTAAAATATATATTTATTAATATATAATTATTAAATTATATATATATATATAATTAATTAATTTTATCTTTAATTTTTATATATTTAATATCTTTTTTTATTTTTTAAAATTTTTATTTATAAATAAATAAGTTTTTTTTTTATTAAATAATTTAATTAATTTTTTTTATAATTTATATTTTTTGTTTACAATATTTCTAAAATTTTTTTTTTTTTTGTATTTTTTTATATTTTATTTTTTTGTATAAAAATAATAGTTTTTATTTACTTTTAATATATAATTTTATTAGATTAATAAAGTATTTTTACTAATAAATTTTAATAATCTATTATATAATATAAATATATCTTCAATAATTTTAATATTATATTTTTAAAATTAAATTGATGATTTTAACCTAAAATAATATATATATATATATTTATATATTTATTATTAAAAATATTATTATAATAATATTTTGCATTTATATATTTGAAATAAAAAAAAAAAATTATATTTTCTATAATATATATAAATATTTTATTTTTGATTAATTAAATTAAAATTAATTTATAGGATTTATCAAATATTTTAATTTTTTATAAAAAAATGCAATTTAAATTTAATATATTTTTATTTTTTTGCTATAAATAATTTGTATTTATTAATAATTTTTTTTTTGTAATTAAATTTATATATTTTTTTAAGAAAAAAATAAATAATTTAAAAATAAATAAAAAAAATATTTTTATTTATTATATTTTATTTTTATATATTTTTTATTATATTTAATTATAGATTTATTTTTAAAATATATTTGATTATTATTTATTTATAAATTAATTTATAATTTTATCAAAAAAATTATTAATAAAAAATATATATAAAATCTATATTAAAAAAAAATTATAAAATTATTATATATAAATATATAATAGTTATTAAAATTTTGATTATATTAAATAAATATTTATAATATAAAAATTTTAAATTCTCTTATTTTATAAATAATAAATTAATAAAAAAATAATAATTTATACAAAAAAAATGAACTAAATAAAAAAAATAAAAGTTGAAAATCCTATAGTAGAACTAGATAGCGAATAAATGAGTTAATCAGTTTGGAACATAATTAAAAAACGTTTAATATTTCCATTTTTAGACGTCCCAATAAAATATTACGATCTCAGTATCGCCTAACGTGATAAAACAAACAATAAAATAACTACTGATGCTGCTTTAAGTATAGTTTAACATAAAGTAGGTATAAAATGTCCATCATTAGGCGCTGATATATAAATGGCTCGAGAATTTGAAAGAATAAAAGGCTGGGATTGCCCTAATGTAACAATAGGAAATATATTAAACGGCACATTATTTGCACAACCAATATTAATAAAAAACATAAAAAAAGTAATACCTAATTGGAAAAATCCAATAATAGTTGGTAAACTTTAAAAAAATAAAAAATCGTATTCTTATTATATAAAAAAATAGCAAGATAAGTATTTCAAGATTTTATAAGTTTCGACGAAAAATAAGTTTAAAATCTCGAATTAAAATTCACAAACGAAAAATCTTTAAAAATTCAAGATTTTTCATCCACAAAAGGCAGTATATTGGGTTTTATTATGTACAACACTGAAGAATATATGATCCAATTTGCCAAAGACTGTTTTGAATATGCCCTAGAGATAAAGTTTCCACTCTATTTTAGCACAAGGGCAGACTTATATGCTGAATATGATGAAAAACTTGTCCAAATATTCCAAAACATGTACCAATAAACCTACAAAACGCTTTTTTTTAAAAAAAATATAATCTACGAACACAAAAACAATCAAGATATGTTAATTTTTGCCCTTAAATCTTAAGGAGGATTTGTATGGGCTTGCAAAAGATACGATGGCGAAATTCACTCATAATTAGTCTCTTAAGGATTTGGGAATTCTGGCTTAACGACAAATTTACTATTTGCATAATAAGAAAAGGCTTTATATGTAGTTTCGAGTTATTTTAGATAATAATTTTAGTAAGGAAAAGAAATCTATACAAATGCTATAGCATGTATTTTTGTATGGATTTAAGGATTATTATATAGGGGAAAATTAGATGGAAATTAATAATTGATTTCGTTTTGTTAGTTGCTGTAAAAAAGCGTGATCTTATGTAGCGAAAATGAAGCTTTTGGGAAAGAATTGATTGAAGAAAAAGAAAAGTTTGAGGTTTTAGAAAAATTAATTGAAAGTGTTTAAAAAAATATGATAAATAATTTATATCCTAAAGCTAAGTTATGAATATTTTTATAAAAATGTATAAAGTTTTTTTTAATTTGTTTTTTATATTAATTTTCCTTAATAAAAAATATATATATATAAGGAAAAAACATTTTATACATATGTATATATATAAATTATAAATATAAATATATTATAATAATATATATATATTTATATTTTATATTTATATCATTTTTAATATTTAAAAAATGCCTATAATAAAATATCTATAAATAAATATAATTTATTTTAAATTAAGAATATTTTATATTTATATATTATAATTAATTTAGTTTTTTATAATATATATTATTAATTTTTTTTATATTATTTATTTATATATAATTATTTAAATTTGTAATTTATATAAAAATATTTCTTTTTATTTGAATATTAATTAATTTTTTTAATATAAATTTTTATTTATGTAAAAATAAATTTTTTTATATATCTTTTAATATATTAAGAGTTAAATTAAGTAAAAAAAAATTATTCTTTATTTAATACATAATTATAAATATTTATAAATAAAAAATACATTATTTCCAAAATATATTATTTTTTTTTTTTATATTTAATAATATTACAAATAATTTTTTATAAATAGATATCTAAAAATTATTTTATTAATATTATATATATAACTTTAAAAAAATAATATATAATATTTATTAATTTATATATAATTAAAATATATATAAAATATATATATATATTTAATAAATAATAATAATAATTATATTATATAAACATAGAATAAATATAATATTAGAAATATAAAAACTTTACGAAATATTGGTTTTTATATAAATAATTAATTTTATTGAAATAAATTAAACTATATTATTTAATTTACATAAATTAGAATTGATAAATCTTGAATTTTATTTATTTGTATAAATAATAGACACATTATATTTTAACATATTTTCGGAAGATAAAATATTCATTATCCTTATGCATCTAAAAATATTTGTAATCAACATAAAAAACTTTATATCAATTAATTATAATATAAATTAATATATATTTTTCCCAATTATTATTGATTAACCTTCTTGTTTATTAATAATGATATTTTTATATATTTTTAAATTTCTGCAGTTAGATTTTTTAATTATTTTAAATTGTTAAATATATTTTTATCTTATTATAAAGTTATTATATATTTCAAAAATCAATGATTTATATTTATTATATGCTCTATAAATTTTTTAATTATAAACAAATTCTTATTTAAAATAGAATAAATTCAAATATCCATACTTGATTTTATAAGTAAAAATGTATAAATAATTATTCTTTAATATTCTTTTGTTTTAATTATAAATGCAAAAAAAAACATGGATTTTATATGATATAAAGTAATTTTTAAGGTCAGAGAAACAGTAAATTAAATTTAAATAAAATGAAAAATAATAAAAAAATATATTAAAATTAAAAGTTTGTAATATATATATTTAATACAATTGAATATTAAAAAAAATAACTATATAAAATAAATAAAAATTAAATATAATATAATAAAATAAAATAAAATAAAAAATATGTCAAATAAATATTCATAATAATATTAAAACTAATCTTAAAAAATAATTACTTATTAATAAAATAAAATAAACTAATACTATGATAAATTAAAAAATAAATCACAAAAATATATAATAAGATAGGAATAAGATTATTTAAATAAATGGTCATATTGTAACCCAGATAATAATAATGATGATTTACCTAATCCATATAAGTAAAAAGATATAATATTAAAAAAATAAAAAAATAAAAATATATATATTTAAATATATATATATATATATATATATATATATATACATATATATATATATATAAATTTATATAATATACTATTTTCATTCAATTAATTTTTAATTATTTTTATTTATTAGTATATATAATATGACTAATTTATTTTTTATTCCATTTCATTTTTTTTTTAAATATTAAAAAATATAACAAATATTTTATTTTTTATTATATATATAAATCATATAATATCACAAATTTAAATAGATTTATAAATGAAATATTATAAGATGAAATATTAAAAGAAGTATATATATAAATTAACCAAATCTAAAAAAAGGAATAAGACCCTAATTATGACGAATAGTTATAAATAGCTTATTCTCAAGGTGAATTTTCTATTTCATCCTTAACCTAAATTTAAACAAAAGATTTTGATATTTATACTAATCTAATAATAGTAGGTGATTAGGAATCAAATATTTTTATTTTAGACACTAAAAAAAAGCCACTGTTTTAAAATTTGAAGAACTATCTTAATTTTCTAAAAGCCACATTATATGTATTTAAACTTCATACATATTCTCTTAAGTATTAACAATTGCAATTACTTAATAATCCTAAAATAAAATATATATATTAGCATTTTTTCCAAATGAAAATAAAATTTTAAATTGGTTTTAAATTATTCCTCCAACAAATATTACTTTTGATTTATAAAATTACAAAATAAGCTCAAATTCTACTTTTTTAGCTATTTCTTCACAAAACTATTAATAATTATTTATTTACAAACTCCCAGAAGTAAAAAAAGACGAAGAAATAAATATATAAAAATTAGAAAAACCTTTATAAGATACTTTTTATAAAATAGATATATAAAAAAAGGATATTTTTATTAATTTTTTCTTCCTTGATAATATTATAAATACACCAAATAGTAAAAAAATATTCAAAAAATGCACTAAAAAATAAGTTTGTAAATCAATTTTGCTTTCCTATTAAAAGTCTTCTCTTTTTTCATTCTAGAATCTAACTTCATCTTTTTAAAAAAAAGACTACCATACTCTTTATTAAATAACCTAAACTTAAATAAACGATACTTAAAAATACATTGCCTTTGCCTTATAAGATGGTTCAATACTTATATGGAATAATTATTTAAACATTGATGAATTTTATCTTTCTAGACATAAATAATAAATATGTACATTAGCTTTTTTCGAAGAAAAGCTACTACTTTCAGGCTCAATTAATGGTGAATTATTCATACATGATTTAAGTTAAGGTGGTTAAGTGACAAAAAGATCAAATTTATTCGAAAGTAAAATACCATATTCGATTACTTCTATAAATATTAGTAGGTGTGGTATTGCTTATGTATTTGATAGTTTAGGAAACGGAAGATTATATAATTTAAATATTCCGAACAAAATAGCTAAAGTGGAATCTTTATAAAATATTGGATAAGATTAAATCCCAAAATTGAAATGGAAAAAAGAAGGACTGGCATGTATTCAAAGAGATAAATTATTTATCATAAACTAAAAAGGAAAATTAGAAATATTTCTTATTTGTGATAATTTAATTTAAATATACCCAGGACTATAAAATTTATCTAGATAAGGTATTTAAAAAGAAAGAATTCTAGTCATTTTTAAAAATATGAATATTTAAAATTTATATGATCCTTAATTTGAAAATGATTTTTAAAAATAATAAATGAATGATACTAAAAAAATATCTATTATGAAAAAATCTAAATAGAGTTTTATTAATTTTAGATTACCTTCAATTATTTAAAATGGAAATCTTTCAAAAGCATCTATATATTCAGTTGATAGTGTAAGTTAAATTTATAATTTAAGTCTTTAGAAAAATAATATGTCCATAGGTCTTACTGATTAGAAATTAAATCCAGAAAAATATTTGTTTAAAAAGCTTTTGCCTGAAATTTATGATTCTGTTAAAGTTACAATTGATAATAGTAGAGAAAGAAATTTTAAAAAGTATAATTTTTCTAAATTTAGATATATATGTTTATATAAGCATATTTCTAACATTTTTTCTTTATATATAGATACAATAGAGAATAGGAATTAGAAAAATTATATAAAAAATTAGACGAAAAGTTATAATAAATAGAAGAACATAAATTTAAATAAAGAAAAGCGTACTTAAGTAATTTAACTAAATGATTTTTTTTTAATAAAATATATAAATATATTAATTCTAATGTAAAATAAAAATTATTATTATAGATAAATTATTAATCAATGTATTTTAAATTAATAAAATAATAAAAAAATAAAAAGAAATGTAATTATAAAATATATAAGAACATACATTAATAAATAAATAAATTATAAGATAATACAATTTTTTAAAATAGATATAATTAATAAAAACATAAGTCAAAAATTCATTTTTTATCCTTTTTATAAATTGTACTAATTTTATTTTATAAAAATAAAAAATAAAAATATCAAAAAAATAAAAAATAAAAAATATTACTTTATTCTATTAAAATTAATTGGAATAATTTTAAATAAAATCTTAATAACTAACTGTTTAATTATAAGGGTTAGCATTTATTCTACCAGTAGGTGATTTATTTTAATTAGATAGATTTTAATTATATTATTACTAAATAAATTATTGCTATAATTATTATTATTAATAATATTATTATTATTACTATTCCTATTTTTAAGACTACAAAATCTATTATTATTAAAGTAATTATTATTACTATATTTATCTTTACTATTGTAATCTTTAAATATCAAGTTATTAGTTTAAACCAATTTATTATTATTATTATTATTATTATTATTATTATTATTATTATTATTATTATTATTATTACTTCTTACTAATCAATATATTAATTTTATTTAATTTGTTTTTGAATTTCCTAATTCTTTTTAATTTACTATTATTTTTGTTATTATTATTATTATTAATACTAAAGTATTTTTATTATTAAATAATATAAATTTATTACTATAAATATTAATTTAAATCAATATTTACTTTATTTTAACCTGAATCTTTGTTTTGTTCACTTTTTTATTATTCTTAAATTTCATTTTTTTATATATATTATTCATTCTATTTATTATAAAAATCATTTACTTTTTTCTATTCTAATTCTCCATATTTTTATTAAATATTTTCATTTTAAACACTATTTATATTATTATTATTTGTTAATTGTATCTAAATATTCTCATAATTTTATTAACTAATATTTTAATTATTATTATATATTTTTTAAAAATTGGATGGTCTAATTACAATTCTATATTATTTTAAACATTTAAATTATATATAATTATTTATATATGTATTTTATTTATTAC